TGTTTATTAGTTTTTGAACATACAGTAGAATTTATGTTGCCAGATAGAAGTATTTTTAAGCTTTACATTTTGTCACATTTGATATGTGTGACATTTCCATATGAGAAATAATATTCTTTTTGTAATTTGTGGTTGATACATTTACAAAATCTTAATTGCAGCTGGTCAGCCTGTTATCATTATCCATGTCTCTATTTAGTGTAGATTCCAAAAATGGTAATGAAGGATGATAAAATGTATTTGATCTTGGTATAAGGCCACTGTTTTTTCTATAGTAAGGATTTCCTGTATTTTATTATTACTTGTTTATATTGCTGTAGCACGTAGGAGTTTTAAGTATAGGCAAGTTCCTCATTGCATTAGATGCCATAAAAACACACAAACAAAAAATAGCCCTGGAGATTTGTCCTGTTCCAAACTGAGCTAACATACATCCGTGTACTAAAAGTAATTGTGTTAAATTATTTTAAGAATAATTAATACATTATAGGCCTTATTCAAAGTGGTATGACTCACTGCTTATATTGAAACAAATCTGGTTTCTTAAACATCTTAGGGCCTACTGCAGGGGTTGGTAACATTTGTGCCAAAATACCTGCAACCTTGACTTGTAAGATGTTAATGTGGCAGGGGCAGACAGTGAGGGAGCCTTAAGGGGCCCAATCCTTGTTATAGCAGTGCAGCCCCGGCCCCTTTCCCCAGGTCTGAGTGGTAAGCAAAATGCCTTCATGTGCCATGGTCTGGCATGCGTGCCAGGGGGTTGCCTATCACTGGCCTACTGCATTTGAGAAATTGTGTATAATGGCATTTTAAAAGCAAGTTTTTAAAATTGGCAAGTTTGCACATCTGTCTAAACATTCATGTTTTATATTTTCATTTGTACGCTTTAATAAACATAAGGGAAAAAAAGAAGGTTTTCAGTATGTTTTCATATTGGTCTGTTGAAAAATCTGTTGTTAGTGCTTCATGATTTCATGCTCTTTTGCAGTTTTCCAAGCTGTGCATTTCTTTTCTCTCCCCCCACCCCAATATAACTGTTTTCACTTTCTCACTTACTTTGGTAGATTTCCCACTTATTTTCTTTAGCAAAGGAAAGCCTATTTTTATCGTTTTGTTTTTCCATCTACATGTTAGCTCTCCTTATACAATATACAATTCCAACACATACTTACATTCATTGCCTTTCAAGTTAAGAACGTATCTACTGTTTATACTATGGCTCTGATTCAGCAGACTCTTTTTTTAGTGAAATACCATTTTCCTGTCCTTCCACCAACAATCTCTTCCAGTTCTACATATGTTGAGGATGCTAAAAGGTATATCCATATTTTTTTCTGTTTATACATATTTAGTCAGAAGTTGCCAGGCAGGGGTGGATCAAGGGGAGCGGGGTGCTGCACTGGTGCACTTGCACCCCACTTTGATTCCTGGTCCACCCAAAGTTTAAAACCAACACGCCTAGCAGTAGCAGTAGTGTTTCTAGTCAGGCAGTGCTAAGGTAGTCAGTTGACTTCATAGCTTAATCTACCCCATCCCTTCTAAGCTCTTCATTTTACAGCTGTTAATGACCCTATCTTCTTTTTTAATGGTCTTGATGCTCCACAAATGATGCTAGTCTTTATTCTTTATTCTGCTCTCTGTTAGCTGCTCTTGGTAATGAAGCTCCTATTTCGCAGCCGTGCAGATTGGTTTTAACTCATTCCAATGAATTTGTAGTTGTTTTTGCTTCAATCTTAAACTGAATAATACAGTCCTAAGCCTCTAGCATATTAGTAAAGCTTCTTTTTAACTGGAGAAAACTGTGTTGTTTCGTACGTGATGATGCACCTCACTATCTTATCTGCACACCTCTTTTTAAAATTCCAGATCCACACGTTTTCAGGTATAAATTTAGTTATTCAAAAGTAAATTCATAATAGGCTTATTTTTTCAGACTTATTAAAACTCATCCTTATTGAAAACAAAACTAGATATTATTCTGTTTCTTAAGTTAGAGTTGAACTCTTCTTGTCTATAGTGACCTAATTATCATCTCTTTTTTTTCCCCTCTATGTATATCATATGCCTGGAACTATGTGACAGTTGGTTTAGTTTATGCTAAAGTATGTTATACTTTGTAATATTCTGTTGTCTTACTAAATAGATGAAAATTGCTTTTTTAAGGCTCCAGGCCTTTACAGGATCCTATAACAGATTTTCTGTAAGGTTCCCTTTGTAGAACTGAGAACTTGTATTTTATTTAATATTTTACTATATGTCCATAAACTTGTGTGTTAGATATCCGGTTACATGATGTCTTTACAATTTCAGTTCAGTGGTTAATTAATTTGTGTGTCCTTTAAGACCTGAGGGTATAAACACTTATGAAGAGGTCAGTAATAATACAATATGGCAGTAAGTTTTTAATTTTCTACTCAGTGTCTGTAAATCTGTTGACATTTCTATTCTGCCATACTTTATTCAGATAGATTTTCTAAGATGCAAAATGTTAAATTGCTTAAAGATGTAAGTTATATGTCAAGGGCTCTAAAATTTGAATGCACTGTTATTGCATGTCATATGTGATTTTAACGTTAAAATACAGCAGAAGTTCATGCTTAGTGAACATTGGCAAGTTGGAATGCTTGATAAAAGGTGTGATGTACTACCTTAAGTGAATCTCACTGGTACAATAAATTTTACTTTATATAATAATTTTGGTATTGCACCATCACTTCTCAGCCTTTTGGCTAAGATGACATGAAATGATGTAATAATTTTATTTAAAGTTCTTTTTATGTTGGATTTGATTGAAAGGGAAATACATTAGATTTTTTATGACTGCGTATAGACAGCAAAAGGTATTCTTTGTTAGAGAAGAAAAACACTTACATATTTGTATAAAATATAATTTATAGTCAAGGTTTTGCCTATTTTATTTAATATAAAATAATTTTTCATTATTTAATGATCTCCTTTTAAAGTATTTAAATACATAAATAATATAGGATTTGGCATTACATACATGCTTCTGAAAAGTGGCTAGTGAAGGATGGAAGTAGATATGTAGGTCTTGTAATAGATATTTTATAGTTTTATAATAGAACATTTATACCAGGTGCTACAATATAGGCCAGTCCTGCGAAGAACACTATATAGTCTGCTCTCCAGGCAGAATCCTTTTTAAGATTTAAATCCCATCCTATCTTCTAAAGTTATTATAGTGTAAATATATTTCCATTACAGATGTACTAATGTTCAGTATTTTCAAAACTTTATACTTTTGTAATACATGTTTTTATCCGTGTTAATACTTAAAAATCCATTCAATAGTTTTGAATTTACGTGTGTGTAAAAAGGAAGAAGATTCTTTTAAGATGCTTCCATTTCACAACAAAATATAGTATGCAAAATCCCTAGCTGGACAGCCTTGTCTTTTGGTATTAAATGGTGCTCTTAATCACTTTGGCCATGCTGATTTGTTAATGGTACTGGTAGAAAACTGAGATTTACTAAATCTTGGGTCCTGATTCTGGTCTCATCATACTGGTTCAAATCAGTTGCAACTCCACAGATATTAATAAAATCAACATAAGAAAGGCCTCAATATTTTCTTTGACTTCTGAAACATGGTGGGCACGGTAAAGTGCTGAGCCCCAGTGAAATCAATGAGAATTAAGGGTCTTGGGGGGTACCTTCACCAGTATCCAGTCTACAGTATTCTAGAGATCTGGTTTTCAGAACATTTTTTATCTTCACTAGTATACTGAACATAGGTGAGTGGGGAAGGGCAATTTAAAAGGAAGAAACATCTCAAACATGAAGGGAAGGGAAATGATATTCCTGCACAGACAGAAAGGAAAGGTGAAAAACAGTGTATGAAAAACAACATCAAACATGGAGAAAGGAGAAGAGCCAAGTGAGTATGCATGTTAGCTTTCTATACTTAGTCCTCAGAAAATATTTTCCATTTGTTACATAAGGATTTATTTTTGCACAATTGAAGCTTTACTATCTTGGTTAACTATTGTACAACAGTCTGTCTATTAAAAACACCATCAGGGTTACTTCTAAGTAAAGATTTTGTAAGTGACTTATGTGGAGACAATCTAGATCTCAAATTTTATTGACCCACAAGAAGTTATGCTTGTCCCACTGTCGTCTCAAAATTGGCTCTTTTTAATAATTAAATTGGATGAAAGTTCTGTTATATTTTATGTATTGTAGGTGCACATACACAAATGCTACAGTGTTGATTATCTGGAATAATAAGTGTCACCCTCATTCTTGATAATCAGTACTTCCAGATTATCAAACACCACAGTATGAAGTGCTGAAAACTATACTTTAATTACTGTACTGTACAGTGAATATAGGCTGAGAAGTGAGAGATTAAGATTACTGACTGTGCCTTCATGTGTCAGAAAGTGATGGGGAAGGCCAGGGGAGGATTGACCTCTGTGTACATTACATAATTTATATTATACTGGTAGACACAACATTTTTGTTGTTGTAAATACAAAACCTTTCAGTCAATCCACGTTCCGGATAAGCAGCTCCTGGGTAATCAGTGCTGTATTCTATATATATTTACAGTGTTTATTTCAGCTACTAGTAATCATTAATTGTCTTTTTCATATTGTAACCCATAATAGCAACAGATCATTGGTCCAAGACTGGGCCTGAATTTCTTTGTAAACATCTTTGCTACAGCTGAGTGCTTACAAACCCTGAAGAGTATATGTACCTATTAATGTTACATCCTGTCCCAAAAAGCAGTATGAAGTACAAGTAGTAGGCTAATCCAGGAGAAAGTTTTTGATAACATAATGAGCTGACCAATTAAACCACTACTTGTGCCATTTGGAAGAATTTACAAAGAAACCGAGAAACTAAGAAGCAGAAACTAAGCTAGGAATCCTGGGCACATCTACTAGTTTATCAACATCAATTTAAGTGATTTCAACAAAGTCAAGTAATAACCAAATATAACTGTAGAAAAGTAGATTCAGTTACTTTACCTTTAATTACAGGATAGACATCTGTGTAAGTAATTTTCATTCACAAACTGTAAAACATGAAAAAGATAATAAAAATAACTTAATAAAACCTGTTAATTTATATGATTGGCTCAAATACCTACAGAATGATTACTGTAAAATAATAAGGTGTTAATAGCCAGTTTTCAAGGAAGTTGCATAACTTTTTAATTGATGGCACAATGAGTTTTTTATACAAACAACAATAAACCTTCTAAATTTAAACTTGCTTATTTTTAAATATAGAAATAGTTGGTTGGAGGGCTGCACCCAGAGAGTGGTGGTGGATGGGTCATTTTCAACCTGGAGGGATGTGGGCAGTGGGGTTCTGCAGGGCTCAGTCCTTGGGCCTGCACTGTTCAACATCTTCATCAGCGACTTCGATGAGGGTGTAAAAAGCACCCTGTTCAAATTCGCAGACAACACTAAGATGTGGGGAGAAGTGGGCACGCTAGAAGGGAGGAATAGGCTGCAATCGGACCTAGACAGGTTACAGGGGTGGGTGGATGAGAACAGGATGGGTTTCAACACTGACAAGTGCAAGGTACTTCACCTGGGGAGGAAGAACCAGCAGCATACCTACAGGCTGGGGAACTCCCTTCTCGTCAGTACAGAGGTAGAAAAGGATCTTGGAGTCATTACTGATGCCAAAATGAACATGGGCCGACAGTGTGGGGATGCGGTCAGGAAGGCCAACCATACCTTGTCATGCATCCACAAATGCATCTCAGGCAGGTCCAAGGAGGTGATCCTCCCCCTCTATGCGACACTGGTCAGGCCGCAGTTGGAGTACTGCGTCCAGTTCTGGGCGCCGCACTTCAGGAGGGATGTGAACAACATGGAGGGTCCAGAGGAGGGCCACCCTCATGATCAGGAGTCAGCATGGCAAGCCCTATGAGGAGAGCTTAAGGGACCTGAACCTGTTCAGCCTCCACAAGAGAAGGCCAAGGGGGGATCTAGCGGGTGTTTACAAACCGGTCAGAGGGGACCAGCAGGCATTGAGGGAGTCGCTGTTCCCCCGAGCACTACCAGGAGTGACAATTAATAACAGTCACAAGCTGGCAGAGGGTAGATTTAGGCTAGATATCAGGAGGCGCTACTCCACTGTCAGGGCCGCTAGGATCTGGAACCAACTTCCAAGAGAGGTGGTGCTGGCTTCTACCCTGGGGGTCTTTAAGAGGAGGCTGGATGAATACCTTGCCCGGGTTGTTTGACCCCAGTACTCTTTCCTGCCATGGCAGGTGGTCGGACTTGATGATCTGCTCAGGTCCCTACCAACTATGATACTATGAAATATACACCCCAATCCTTTTTTTCCATTCTGTTTCCTTTTCAGTGCACAGGAAACTGATCCTAACTGGCCAGCTGAAAATTTCCTTGATGCAGGCAAACCCTCAGCTTCTTTACAGCTGATGTAGAGAAACTTATCTGCAAACTGCCCCTTCGTGCACACTGCTATAGGAGAAAGTGAAAGGAGCAGGGTGTACTTTTATTATGCCAGTTCACAACTGATTTACAGTTTTATGGAAATGACAGCCACTTGTCATTAAAGGAGAACAGGATATAAACTATTAATAAATGTTGATGGGTCAGGGTTGGTGCAGATGTACCCTAAGAAACTAGGAAGTGTAACTTGCTGTGTGACAGGTCCTGCCCCCCACCTTCCCTGAACTGAGTGCATTGCTGGGTAGGAGAGAATCTGTGTGATAGATCTTCAAAGGTATACAGTAAAGACCTGAGGGCTAAAAAACTTAACTGACCATATTCTTAGGAAAACAGTTATTTATATTTTCTCTATCTAATTGTTCATACTATAGGAGAAATTAAAGCAAAGCAGCCATGACTTATAGAAGTTCCTGTTAAACAAGTAATACTGTCTCTTATAAATTGTGCATATTGTTTTATTCTTGCATTAGAAAGGTGCTTCCTTTTACATCCATTTTATATATAATTCTTATAGTTATATACATTTGTCAGTGTAAAATCATGGTCCAGGTAGGTCATTGCTTGGATTTTAAAATATATTTAATTACATTCCAACTGATATAACTTTGATTTTAATTGGTATGTAAGCCAGCTGACTGCACATTTGTCATGCTTATTAAGGACCATTTTATACATAAGACTGAATTACACCCTTGTCTACACTGAAGCATGGGACAAAGATACACACCTACAGGGAGAGAGAGACAGATTATGTCTCAGGAAGCATCTCGTGAGCACTTTCTTTGGGGCAGCCTGACAGCGCCTTAAGGTATGGACAAACTTAAATTTAGAGCCATTTCAAAATGTTATGTATGGACAGGCTGGAAATGATATAAATGTAGCAGAATCCTTCCAAAGTTAACCTTGGATGAAGCAGTGTTAAAGCTGGAGTGGTTTTGCTATGTTTGTATCATTCCCGGTTTGTCCGTATGTAACAATTAGAATGTAAAACCTAGTGCCCTTTTAAAATGGCTCCCAATACATGTGTTCATACCCCTACACTGTATATCTAAGGTTGTGACTATTTTCTTGCTTCTTTCCCATCCCCTTTTCAGTTATTTGTGTCTCAAGCAGTCTTAGTGCTTAACTTTCCCTCCAAGAACAGAATTTGCTTTTGAGTTTGATCTTGGTGTAGGAATTATGAGGGTAAATGGGGACTTTCCTTGCAGTTTTTTTTCCCTCTAGTTCTTGCTCCCATACAAAGAAATGAAAAACAGTGCTTATATTTAAAACAGTCATATTTAAGTTAAAGTATGCAATTTAATTTAAATATAAATGACTTAGATAATATATTATTCCATACGTTTTTTACAATATGACTTGAATTATTATTAAATATAATAAGTACTATGAAACATTGGTATATGGCTGGGGTGCTCAACCCCATGGACCAGATGAATGGCATTAGACCTGACTATGGGTTGAATCGGGCCCTGGGGGCCTGGCATTGTGCCCTCCTGCCCCTGCATGCCAGGATTGGGTGCCAAGGGCCAGGCACCATCTCCTTCAACCCTCTCTGTGCTAGGGTTGGGTCCTGGGGGCCTGGCACCACTCCTGCATGCCAGGATTGGATTCTAGGGGCCCAGCTGGCCCGTGCCCAGCCCTGTGTGCTAGGATCAGGGGGCCCGGTCTAGCCTTCAGGACTTGGGGATCACCAGGTATCTGGAAATTTGGCAGTGGAGGAAGGGGCACTGCTCCCTGCTGCTAAATTTCTGGACCTGTAGGGAGCTTTGTGAGCCAGATGACATGGTGCTTCAGGACAGATCTGGCCCATTGGCCGAAGATGGAACAACCCTGGTGTATGGTGATGGGCACACTTAAAACACCAAGATAAATAGGCTTCAAGAAAGGAGAGGTCTGGCTCATGGTAAATATACTTAGCAGAAAGCAGTAGTGTTCATAACTAGTTGACATATTTATCTGTTGGCAGGATTTAACTGGTTTTGGCTCCCTGGACATTTTTGTGCAGTTCAGCTTGGTAAATGGAAGTAATGTACAATAATACAAACTGTTCTGAAGCTCAAACTGACTGTAGGAATAGAATCAGGTAAGTCAATTAGTACTTTTTTCTGTTCAGAGTAGAAAGATTTGCAAATATGCTGCTTCTCAAATTACTTTGGTTTAATTCAAACATTGTTATTTGTTAATGAATAAATGCAATTTAAAGATACGTTGCAATTTAAAGATACGTTACATGGGCAGTAAATACATAATTAACTACTTTTAGTTCATGACATTTAGATGGAAAAGTATTCAGGTAGTGACACAACCTTATAAGCCCTCACCTCTTTTTACAGTAGGTCTACTGGAAATCATGCTGAACAATTTCCCCAGGGTTTTCACTTTGTGGGATAGTAAGAAATTTATTCAGTTTTATTATTATAAATGAGTGTAGATTCTGGTAGACTGCTTAATTCAAAGCTTGCAACTTAAAAGAGAAATAATTATAAAACAATTAAGGGGTAATAACTGATCTTAACTTGTTTCTGAAGGACACTTTCATTTTTGAAAGTATATCCAACAGTACACTGGCCCAAATAATCGAATATTCGTGCTTATTCAATGATTACCTTTACTGTATAGTGAAAACATAAATTAGAAAAGTGCCATTCATATTGTCATGAGTTCATAAAGTATTATAAAAAATCACTGACATATTTCATATTTGGACATTAATGAAAATGAAAAAGTATTACATTTTTCTTGTGTTAATTTCTAAATATATTTCTCCATCACAGTGTTTCTCAACCTTTTAAGTAGTAAGTACCCCTAACTTCTGAAAATGTTAATAAGTACCCCAACACGCAATTTTCCACGGGATTTTATATTTACAGATTAACGTGTGCCATATGTTGGAAGAAGGGCTGTGTATATAAGGTCATGATATGACAGATGTCTGATCTGGTGTGGGTAGGATTGCCACCTTTTACACCAGGGATGCACAACTCGAGTATGTACCTGGGCTAGAGGTGATGTTGGCCAAAGCTAGGAGGGCTGAACCCATGCCAAATTATTACTGGGGAATTTAAAGCACTGAGCAGTGCATGGTGTACCAAATTTTTTGCCATAGTTTTGAGAGGTGGAAGGGGCGGGAGAGAAGAAAATAAGGTGAAAGAGAGAGAGAGAGAGAGAGAGAGAGAGGAAAAGAGGGCGAGAGAGAGAGAGAGAGTGTTGGGGTACCTGTGTACCCCCTGCCTGTGTCTCACATACCCCCAGGGGTACGTGTACCACAGGCTGACAAACTATGTTCCATCAGACATCCAGAAGGGACTGTTTCCCCTTCCTTAGCTTTAGCAAAACCATCCACTAAAATATACATCAACATCAACATTTAGTTAAAGGCTTAAAATGAATTTTGTAATTCTAAAATACTAGTGCATACATGTACACTAAGTTTGGGCTTAAAATGTAATGGTTTTCAATTCTCAAAATTACCCACTTGTGCATTATGTCAGGTATTTAATTTAAATAGTGGCACTCTTCCCTGAGGCCTTCCATTGGCACTTGGAGTGATACATGTCTGCCTCCTTATCCAGACTGAGGG